TCAAGGGAGGGCCGAGCCCCCCAGCCAAAAAAAAAAAAAAAAGGAGAGAGCGAGAAGGAAAAGAAGGGAAAGGGAAAGAGAGAAAGGGAAAAAAGAAGAGGAAGAAGAAAAGAAAAGAGGGAAGAAGGAGATCGGGGGGGGGGGGGGGACTTGCCTTCCAGGCTGTTGCCCCCCCAATCAAAAAATAAAGAGAAGGAAGGAAAGGGAAAGAAAAAAGGATAAGAGGAGATAAAGGGAAGGAAAAAAGAGGAAGAAGAAAAGAAAAGAAGGGGGATATCAGTTGCAATTTTCCCGCCAACAAGTTGTGGATAGGGGGGAAGGCCCTTGCCCCCCCCCCCACCCCCCGTTCCTGCTAAAAAAAAAGAGAAAGGGAATGAAAAGGAAAAGAGGAGAGCTAAAAGGGAACAAAAAAGAGGAAGAAGAAAGGGAGAAAAGAAGGGGAGATCAGTTGCGGTTAATCCCGCCAACAATGTGTGGAGTGGGTGGGGGTCAAAATGACCTTGCCCCCCACCCCCAGCAAATCTAAAAGAGAGAGAGGGAAGGAAGGAAAGGGAAAGGGAAAGAGGAGAGAAAGAAAAAGAAGAAAAAAAGAGAATGAAGAAAGGTAAGGGATATCAGTTGCAATTCCAACAAGGTGTAGATCGGGGGGGGGGGGGGGGCTTTGGGGAAATAAAATTCAAACGTGGTTTATTTCTAATTCCATAACGGTTGTTTACAAATAATGGTGAAATGACATCCTTTACATTCATGTCGGAAATTCAATTTACAACAGTAGTTGTATGCCTATTTTCTACACTCCCCCTATCATGATATCGGGCACATGTAGCGGGAGGCGGGCACATCTACAGGGAGGTGGTTATTTGACAACGTAAAACACGTAGAATCCAAAGAAAATCCATGAAAAGAAGATAAATTGATATTTGTGAAACTCATTTGTATCTTAGGAGCTTTATTATATTCATGACATGTCGGAAATTCGGGTTGTATGCCTCAATACATTTCCCCTATCTCGGGCACATGTAGCGGGAGGCGGGAACATCTACAGGGAGGTGGTTGTTTGACAACGTAAAGCATGTAGAATCCAAAGAAAATCCATGAAAAGAAGATAAATTGATATTTGTGAAACTCATATATAAGGGAGCTTTAATGTAACATCCGTGAACTCTCGGATATTGAATATAGAATACTATTTTATTACACTAACTCGATCCCTATCTCGATCGGGCACATGTAGCGGGAAGCGGGCACATCTACAGGGAGGTGCATGTTTTGATAACTTAAAACACGTAAAATCCAACGAAAATCAATGAAAAGAAGATAAATTGATATTTATGAAACTCATTTGTATCTTAGGAAGCTTTATTATATTCATGACATGTCGGAAATTCAATATAGGCTACAACACTAAGTTGTATGCCTCACTACATTTCCCCTATCTCGGGCACATGTAGCGGGAGGCGGGCACATCTACAGGGAGGTGGTTATTTGACAACGTAAAACACGTAGAATCCAAAGAAAATCCATGAAAAGAAGATAAATTGATATTTGTGAAACTCAATTGTATCTTAGGAAGCTTTATTATATCCATGACATGACGGAAATTCAATATACAACACTAGTTGTATATGCCTCACTATACATTTCCCCTATCTCGGGCACAATGTAGCGGGAGGCGGGCACATCTACAGGGAGGTGCATGTTTTGATAACTTAAAACACGTAAAATCCAACGAACATCAATGAAAAGAAGATAATTGATATTTATGAAACTCATTTGTATCTTAGGAAGCTTTATTATATTCATGACATGTCGGAAATTCACTATAGGCTACAACACTAAGTTGTATGCCTTTACTACATATCCCCTATCTCGGGCACATGTAGCGGGAGGCGGGCACATCTACAGGGAGGTGGTTATTTGACAACGTAAAACACGTAGAATCCAAAGAAAATCCATGAAAAGAAGATAAATTGATATTTATGACACTCATTTGTATCTTAGGAAGCTTTATTATATTCATGACATGTCGGAAATTCAATATAGGCTACAACACTAAGTTGTATGCCTTACTACATATCCCCTATCTCGGGCACAAAGGCGGGCACATCTACAGGGAGGTGATGTATTGACAACGTTAAACACGTATACCTCAAAGAAAATCAATGCAAAGAAGATAAATTGATATTTGTGAAACTCATATATAAGGGAGCTTTAATGTTACATCCGTTAACTCTCGGATATTGAATATAGAATACTATTTTATTACACAACTCGATCCCTATCTCGATCGGGCACATGTGGAGGTAGGCGAGCACATCTACAGGGAGGTGGTTGCCGACGACCGAGTTGGTCACGTGTTTTATGGAGTTAAAAAACGACCAAAAGAATCGCCATTTTTGTATAAACTGTATCAAAAATGTATCAAAATCCACACTAAATAAATTTACTTAACACTCAAACACTTCTACCTCATAATCACGGACAATACAACTGTATAATGGTAAGATTTTGCCCTGATTTGGCTGAACCACTGTGTTCATTGTACAGTCATGACCCCAATTCTGCACGTACGTACGTACGATCGTACGCGCGCAGTCAAGAACATCAATATTCATGAATTGACACGACGTCACTGATATGCATATTCATTGACCTCCTTGTAGATGTGCCCGATTAGAGGCTACCATCATTCATGGTCATGACATTTAGTCTATAGATCTACTCATGACATTAGTTTTTAATTTTACCAAAAAAAAAACATTCTTGATCAATATCCCTGATCTCTACAAGAAAGTTGAAAGAAATAATAATGTGCTTAATTCAACCGGAAATTAGTTTGACCTGTGGACATATTAAATGTCAAATGAAACCGGTCAGGTCTTCATTTGCATCAGGCATTCGCTACAACCCGATACCCCAGAGTTACGGGCAAGGTCCCCTGATGATGTCCGCTATGGCGCAGCTGGTATCGGTCGCCTACCTTGCGACACAACCGGCAACCCCTGGGCCTCTATTTCCTGTACAAAATGAGATGTCTGCGGCATTATAAATGTTTATATTTACCTTATAAGAATCACTTGCTCGAGCTATGGTTGTTGATTCAATTCGGATCCTTCACATGTAATATGAATTTGCAAAACAAGTGATTTAATCTTTCTTTGGAGTGCAGATTTTGGTTAGTGGTGTTCCCCCGTAGACGTGCATCATTGTAATTCACGGGATCGAGATTAGCGAGCTAGATGGCCTGGAACAAGACTTTTTGTTTACTACATAAAAACTTTTGCTATCGTATTCACTAGTAAATAAAAAGCCGAAAACGGTTTTGTCAAAATAAAGTATATTTTATCACAATTGAATATTTTACTGGTTTTTAATGCAATCATTATTGCATAATTTGGAAACCACGTTCACCTTTATTTTTTCTTTACGTCTGGACACGCTTCTATCACTAGCAAAGGATTCCTCTTTTGGAATCAACTCGACTTGATGATGATGATGGGGATTTACTTTTCACATAACTTTTTGCATATTCTTTACAAATTGGGACCCAAACCTGCATGGGACCTAAACAAAACAAAGAACATTAAAGGAAAATCATTTGACAGAAACCAATAGGACCAATAGAAACCAATGGAGACCCATATAGAAACCAATAGGACCAATAGAAACCAAAAGGACCAATAATAATAACCAATAGCCTGCCCCCCCCCCCCCCCCCCGAAAAGGCATGTTGTTAAAAAAAAATCCCTTTTCTTTCTTTGTTTCTTTCGTTGTTTCTTTTTCTTTTTTTAGTTTATTTTTTTTCTATTTGCTATACTGTTTTGAGAATCAAGATATTCAAAACCGGTGTTTTTTTCTTAAACATATGATAATGGTGCAACGTAGCCTACACCCATTTTGCAAACCGTCATGATGACTCTGGGTTTTTAAGATTTATAGGTGCCCTATTTTTGCCGGGTATTTTTGACGCACAGAGCAGTGGCGAATCCAGGCGGGGATCAAGGGCGGGGCCAGGCGAATGGCCTGGCGGCCTAAATTTAAAAAAAAAGGGGGGGGGGTACTCCCTTACAAAAAAAATCTCTATGGTACACCATACAAACACCATAGCAAATCTACCATAGATTACCATACAAACACCATAGCAAATCTACCATAGATCTACCATTCATTTACCATAGAACTAATTAAAATAATTGGGACAAATTTATTCATTTATTCAAATTAGGCCACACCTACATATTCTACCATAGAGCCACCATTCATATATCATAGAGCCACCATAGAGTCATCATTCATCTACCATAGAGCCACCATTCATCTACCATAGAGCCACCATTCATCTACCATAGAACCACCATTCATCTACCACAGAGCTACCATTCATCTACCATAGAGCCACCATTCATATACCATAGAGCCACCATAGAGTCATCATTCATCTACCATAGAGCCACCATTCATCTACCATAGAGCCACCATTCATCTACCATAGAACCACCATTCATCTACCATAGAGCCACCATTCATCTACCATAGAGCCACCATTCATCTACCATAGAGCCACCATTCATCTACCATAGAGCCACCATTCATCTACCATAGAGTCACCACTCATCTACCATAGAGCCACCATTCATCTACCATAGAGCCACCATTCATCTACCATAGAGCCACCATTCATCTACCATAGAGTCACCATTCATCTACCATAGAGCCACAATTTATCTACCATAGAGCCACCATTCATCTACCATAGAGCCACCATTCATCTACCATTCACTACCATTCAAAATATGCAACAAAATATTACGCTTAATTGTAGCATTTTGAAATGGTATATTCAGAATGGTAGTTTGGATCTTGATCTGTGGTTAGCAGAATGGTGGCTGTAGTGCGTTCTATAGTACACAGAATGGTGACTATAATATATTGAATTTTTGAGAAATCTAAACTTAAATGTTAACTTACAATACACACATGATGCTTATTAAAAAAATGAATTGAATGAAAGTGGCAGGATGTATTTGGTTTATATCAAAAGTTGTATGCATGTACATATGCTAAAAACTAAAATAAAAGGCAAGTAAAAAATATATCACATAAACATGTACACTACAAACTAAAATGAAAGGCAAGTTCATAATTGCAACACATATTACTTGGACTTATTCTACTAATGTGTACTAAATACCCACATATATATCACCCTAGTTCCTCTAAATAACTAAAATGTCATATATAGTGTGTATGTAAACATGACTAAAATGAAAGGCAAGTTAAAAATATATAAACATGTACAATAAAAACTAAGGCACTGAGTTGCAGCACAGAAATGTTCTAAAACATTGTATAAACATGTACAATGAAGTTCAAGTCAAAGAGGTTGTATGTGAGTTCGAAGAGGAGCAGAAAAGACGAGCCTTGCTGCTCAGTTTTGGAGTCTCTGAAGGCGATCAAGGTCCCTCTGGCTGAGAACACTGAAGACCCAACCCTTTCTATACTCAAACTGTTTACATGTATCGATCGGTATCACTACCCCCACCCCATGATTCGATGTGTAACCTCGTCTATGCCATGTTCCATCGTAGGGCACTGCCACGTCCACATAATAATTTTCCCTGATGGTCAGATCCTTGTCCATGGCCCTTTGACGTAGGCATGCTGCCACCTTCTTCTTCTGATCCTTACTGGTCTGCAAAAAAAAAAGAGTTTGTAATAAATAACAAGTAAATTTCAAGTTCCCTCAGGCCCCTTACTTATTAGACCCTATTACAAATATTTAGATTTGATTAATTTTCATCCCTTGATTTGACAAGAAGGGATATTGATGTACATGTATTATACTGTCTATCGACCATAACTAAGAAATAGAAATATGTTTTGATTAAATGTACGTACAGCTAAGATAACGTAATGAAGAAAACACAAGGCTGGTGACTAACCTCTTGGGATAAGGAAGATAAAGTGGCTATGTGCCTGTTGTAGCTAGGGGCTTCGACTAGTGGGGCTGTTCCGAGGATGGTCAGCAAGTCGCACGTACAAGCTATCCCATGCCAAACCAACCTCCGTTGCTGCCAAAGTAGCTCTGCGGTTTATTTCTGCAGACTTTCCACGTCCTTCGCATTCATTTTCTGATGAAGAGAATGTCCTCTCCTTCTTGCAAATGAAGCAACCAAGGACCATGGCGCAGTTCAACCCATTCATTCCTCTTTGACAAATTCTCCAGAGGAATGAGATGCCCTGTAAAAGATATCCAAAACACTTTATGGAACAGGGAAAATATTTTTAAAAGCACAATCCCCAAATAATAACAAAGTGCTAGTTATGACATACATGTAGTATATTACACAAATACACATTTTCACAGATTTCACGACAATTCCGATGCCCCCACTTCGATTCACCATAGAGTAAAGGAGGGGTTTTTTCGGCCACTTAAGACAAAATCCTATTTTTTGGACTCTTTACTTCCTATTTATTATCATTTCTTGTTCAAATCATGAAGCAAATACTATTATTATTTAAACAAAGAAAGAATCCCAGAAAAAAATCATGAATTGCCATGACAACATTCATTTCCATTTTCACTGTTTCGGAGGTAGTTTTCGGCCTAGCGAGGCAGTTTTCGGCCACATGTACAAAGTCAATAGGAAGCAAGCAAGCGCGCCATGCGTTTCCCCACTGATCTATAGCACTAGCGGCCGTAGACCGAATTTTCCGTCTCTTTCGTTCGTTAGCCTCTTATTGGGGTAGGGTCGGCCGGCTCTCTCTTTAGAGACGGAAACCGTCTATACACATTCCCTTGATAACGCCACAGCCATTTCAGGTCGTAGCGTTTTGCCCCCAAAATCCCCCAAAATGTCATTTTACCTCGTGTATATCCAAATGTAAATTAGGCCTAGGCTATAATACATCGGTCCCACTTACTAACTTGATTGAAATAATCCGTTTAATGGTCCCTTTTAAGGAAATTATGGGTCAAAATCGACATCCATGTTGAAAATCTTGCAAGCCGTGTTAAACTCTTGCTGCCGGAGTCATCTAAATCAATCTCATCCCTTCTAGTCTACGCCAAAGGCAAAATGATTATGAAGGAAAAACCGTGCGCCATTACGAACGTGTAGATGGCGCACAGTTTTTCCTTCATAATCATTTTTGCCTTCGGCGTAGACTAGAAGGGATGAGATTGATTTAGATGACTCCAGCAGCGAGAGTTTAACACGGCTTGCAAGATTTTCAACATGGATGTCGATTTTGACCCATAATTTCCTTAAAAGGGACCATTAAACGGATTATTTCAATCAAGTTAGTAAGTGGAACCGATGTATTATAGCCTAGGCCTAACTTACATTTGGATATACACGAGGTAAAATGACATTTTGGGGGATTTTGGGGCAAAACGCTACCAACCTGAAATGGCCGTGGTGTTATCAAGGGAATGTGTATAGACGGTTTCCATCTCTAAAGAGAGAGCCGGCCGACCCTACCCCAAGAGGCTAACGAACGAAAGAGACCGAAAATTCGGTCTATAGCGGCCGGAGCAGGTATCCCAAGCCGGAGCTTCCCGTGCCGAAAACTACCTCTGCGGTGATCAGAAATTGGAATCTGAATTAGACAGAGATATCGTGTGTGCGCTGCGGTATCCGGCTGCATTGATTAAATACATGCGATGAGATACTTTTGAGTTTGCGACTCACACAAAATCGGACTCTAAATCTGAAAAATACTTGAAATAAAGCTCATTTTATGGTACCCATATTCCTTACACGCGTAAGATACTTAATTTTTCAGATTCGGGGAGCGGGACCGCCGATTACATCGCTAAAATGTGATATTTTAGGATATATTTTCCATTGCAAATGTGGTTCTTCAGTGACTCTGGCATGGTATGGTATGTGTGGGATATATGATATGCTGTTATGCGATGGATTTTAAAGGGATTTTACCATGCATCCAACGGATCGGCCGAAAACTGGTGATGGTCGATTTACCCCCTCCTTTACTCTATTCTTAATCATTTGATTTGGCTTTTTGAGCCATTCACCCCTTGAGCATGCAATACAATCTCAAAGTAGCAGTTTGCAAACTAAAAATATTGTTTGATAGTAAGTACATACCTCCAAGACACACGTGAGCCTTTTGCAAAGCAGCTGCAAGTTGTGGGCCACTAATGACGCGGATCTTCACATGTGGGACCAGGGCCAAAAATAGGGCTGTCCAAACACTTATTTAGGGAAAGCTTCCTCGATCTCTGAATTAGCTGTTAGTTCTTCTGGCACCTCTCCAGCATTCATGTTACTCTTCTGTAATATCTGGTATTGATCTCCTTTGAACACCTTCCTCTTCCTCACATATTTTGGAGTTTTGCGAAGCATTTTCAGTGAGTAGAAATTAGAGACCAACGGTTAGGAGAGTTATTCAAATCTTGGGCACAAGGTGGCAGCAAACAGCCCTTGTTATCTACTTTCTGCTGATATACATTACTTGTTACAATTTGGTTTAGAATTTTTTATTTAATGATTTCTTTAATTGATTGAGACTAATTGAGTGCAAACAGAGGCAGTGGAGCGACTTCCAAAGTGGGGGGGGGGGGTGGGCCCGGGGGGGGGGCACCAACAAAAAGGGCACTTTCTGGAGAAAATAAATAGGGCACCTACAAAGGGAAATCTCCAAGCGAAAATATATATTAAAAAAAAACAACATTTGTATATACCCCCTATATTGTGATTACATTATCAGGGATGATTTCAATATTTTTTTTATCTTTATAAATAAGATTTGTGAGGTCGCAGTGCGAAAAAATTACATCAATTATAAAGAAGAAAAACCCGATCCTGATGGGTTTATTACATTATCATAACAGAAGACTGAAAAGACCTTTGATAAGTACCATAATTATAACATCTAGAAATGCGAGTGTGCTTTGGGTGATATTGCTCTTAGTAGCTGGAAATTAGGGGCACGTGATGAAAGGAAAAGGGGACACTTATCGACAAGGGTGACACTTATTAGAAAAAAAAGGGGCACATGTCAAATTACAACGGGTAATTATCAGAAGGTGAAAATGGGGCACGTATCATTGTTAAAGGGTAATTATCTGAGGTGAAAAGAAAAGGGGCACTTATGAGAATGAAAAAGGGGCACTAATAATAAGGGGAAATTTTCATTTGTTGTACGAAAAGGGGCACCGATCAGTTTTTAATAGGGGTGTTTAATACGAGGGGAAGGGGGGATTTATGAGAAGGGGGAAGTGCAGGCTATTATTAAAAAGAAAAGAGGCACATGTCAAGATAAACGGGGCACTTATGAGAGATGAAAAGGGGGTAATTATGGGAAGGGGATGGGGCACTTAAAAGAAGGAAAAAGAGCATTTATTAGGAAGGGAAGGGGGCATTTATGATAAAGGGAACGGGTTCTCTTTTAAATGGGGCAAAATAAAAGGGGCAGTTATTGAAGATGAAAAGAGCACTTATCAGGAGGAAAAGGGACACTTGTCAAAATAAAACGAGTACCTCTCAGAATTTAATAGGGTCATTTACTAGAGATGGAACGGGACTATGAGAATGAAGAGGGACTTAAGAATGAAAAGTAACTGTTTTCATAGATGAAAAGGGGCATTTATGATAAAGGGAAGGGGCTCTCTTTTAAATGGGGGCACTTGTTAGAAAGGAAAGGGGGCACATGTGAAAATATAAGGTGCGCTTATCCGAGTTAAACAAGGGGTAGTTATTAAAAGGGGAAAGGCCCCTCTCAGATTTGAATAGGGAAATTATCAGAGGTGAATGGGGCACTTATCAAAAGTGAAAAGGGGCATTTCTCGTATCTGAAAAGGGGCACTTACTAGAGATGGAAAAAGGGCACTTATGAGAATGGAAAATGGACACTTATTGCAAAGGAAAACCGGAACTTATCGAAGAAAAAGGGGCACTTTAAAAAAAATAATAGGGGCACTTTTTAAAGTAAAGGGGCCCTTTTTATGTAAAAAGTGCCACGTTAGAGCCACCATGGAGTCACTAACCACTAGTAATATATCATAATGTCATCATCCACCATAGAGCTACTGCTAAAATATCTTACACCACAGGGATATACCATTCAACGGAAATACCATATAATATACTCTACCATATATCATACCGTAGAAATACCATACACCATACCACCATACAGCCACCATAGAGCTACCATAGATCTACCATTCACTTTAGAGCCACCATAGAGCCACTAACCACCATTAATATACCATAAAGTCATCATCCACCATAGAGCTACCACTGAAATATCCTCCACCATAGGGATACCATTCAACAGAAATACCATAGAAATATATTCTACCATATAACATACCGTAGAAATACCATACACCATACAGCCACCATAGAGCTACCATAGATCTACCATTCACTTTAGAGCCACCATAGAGTCACATAACTACCATAAATATACCATAAAGTCATCATCCACCATAGAGCTACCACTGAAATATCCTCCACCATAGGGATACCATTCAACAGAAATACCATAGAAATGTATTCTACCATATAACATACCGTAGAAATACCATACACCATACAGCCACCATAGAGCTACCATAGATCTACCATTCACTTAGAGCCACCATAGAGTCACATAACCACCATAGATATACCATAAAGTCATCATCCACCATAGAGCTACCACTGAAATATCCTCCACCATAGGGATACCATTCAACAGAAATACCATAGAAATATAGTCTACCATATAATATATCATAGAAATACCATACACCATAGGACGGCATCAATGATATACCATTGACCATAGAACTCCACCATTCAGCAATTGTGTGGTATACCATAGAAATATATTCTACCATATAATATATCATAGAAATACCATTCACCATAGAGCCGTACCATAGGAATATCATAGATTTTTTTTGTAAGGGCTGAGGGGGGATAGAGAGGAAGAAACGGAAGAAAAAACAGGAGAAAATAAAGGGAAGAAGGCCAAAGAACCCCGGCAGCTGAGCTGGCGCTTGTCGTCCCAGACGAGGAGAAAGAGCCTCTATATAATACATTCAACGACACTCACTATACACCAACATAATTCGCCCATTGTTGCCAATGCTATGTCAGGAATGTTCTTTTAAATAATCCTGCACTTTACAACAAAAACGTACTCTATCTAAAAGGAGCGCTGAACCAACTTCGTTTTTTATTACTTATTGGATTTGGTACGTTTTACAAATTCCTTGGTGCTATGTTAGATTCTTTATATAATAGCCCCCCCCCCCCCCACTCAGTGTTATTTAGGGTACGCATATGCGTGTTCCCAGCGCCCCGCCCCCCCCCCCTTTCAGCAAAAGTCCGGTGTGTAAAGTCAATACGGGTCGACCTTTTTCTTTTGTTACGAGCCGGAGAGTTTGGGGACAGGCGCGGATCCACGGGGGGGGGGGGGGGGGGGGGGGGCCGACGGGCCAAATTCAAAAAATAAATACAAAAAATAAATGATGCATACCCCCCCCCCCCCCGATTAAAACTCTCGCATAAAATTATAATTATTTTCTTCTCTCATTCTATTTTACTACAGCCCCACTCTATTCTTTTCCTGGAGGAATATTGGAAGTGATTGTCCTTACAGACAAGGAAAACGATCCTGCACTTAGAAGCTACAACATTCAATTTGAATATTCATTCGATTTATTCTGATAATGTCCCGTTGCAGCAAATGCAAAAGTGACATTTCATCTCTTCCGAAGCTCTGTAGATCTATATACTCCTACTCTGATAACAAGTTTTTACATGGATCGTAAACTTTATAAATACGAACATTCTTGAATGTCAGATGAAGGAGAAGAAGAAAAAGAAAAAAGGCAAAAAACATTTTTGCGGGAAAAGTGTGCCGGTGTGACCGCGTAGAATGTTACCCGCACCGATCGTCCGCCTATTAAAGATCGATCGAGAGCGGACGATCGGTGCGGATTATACCTGCGCAGAATGTCCGTGTCGGACATTCCGTGCGCGCCTCAAATGTCTGACGGACAATCTGTGCGGAAGAGGTCTCGCACCAATAGTCCGCCTGCCGCACCGAATGTTCGTACTCTAGTCCACACGTACATGTATACATATTTAATACGAGTATAAATATACTTAATGAATGAAACGACTGGATAACCCATATTCAGCTTTGGCAGATGACACTACAGGTCTTCCCGGCGCGGATCAAAGGGGGGGGGGGGGGAGGGCCTTGACCCCCAACCGCCAACAAAAAATGAAGAGAGAGAGAGAGAGAGAAGGTAAAGTGGAGAGTAAGGGAAAGGAAGAAGAGGAAGAAGAAAAGAAAAGGGGGGAACAAAGGAGATCGGGGGCGAAAGGCCTTCGCCACCCCCCCCCCCCCCCTGGCAAAAGAGAGAGAGAAAAGGAAGAAAAATAAGGGAAAGGGAAAGAAGAGACAAAGGGAAAGGAAGAAGAAGAAGAAAAAGGGAAAAGAAGAAGATCGGGAGGGGGGGCGAAAGGGCTTTACCTCCCAGGCTGTTGCCCCCCCCCCCCCCAGCAAAAAGAAAGAGAGAAGGAAGAGAAGGGAAAGAAAAACGGGAAAAGACGAGATAAAGGGAAGAAAAGAAAAGAAGGGGGATATCAGTTGCAGTTTTCCCGCCAACAAGTTGGGGATCGGGGGGGGGGGCAAATGGACCTTGTCTCCCCCCCCCCCCCTTCTACAGCAAATTTAAAAAAGAGAGAAAAGAAGAGAAGGGGAAGGGAAAGAAAAGAAAGGTACGGAGATCAATTGTGATTTTTCCCACCAACGCGGTGTGGATCGGGGGCGAAAGGCCTTCGCCTGCCCTCCCCTGGCCCCTCAGCAAACAAAAAGAGAGAGAGAGAGAGAAGGAAGGAAAAGAAGGGAAAGGGAAAGAAGAGAGAAGAGGAAAGGAAGAAGAAAAGAAAAAGGGGTCCGACAGGGCCTTGCCGCCCATGCTGTTGCCACCCCCCCCCCGCAAAACAAGAGAGAAGGAAGGAAAGGGAAAGAAACAAAAGAAGAAAAGAAAAGAAGGGATATCAGTTGCAATTTTCCTGCAAACAAGATGTGGATCGCGGAGAAAGACCTTTGCCTCTGCCCCCCCCCCCTCCCCGACCACCCCCACCCCCTCCCCGCCAAAAAAAGAGAGAAAGAATGGAAAGGGAAACAGGAGAGCCAAAATGGAATACAAAAGAGGAAGAAGAAAAGAAAAGGGTGAAAAGAGGCAGAGATCAGTTGCGATTAATCCCACCAACATCGTGTGGATCGGGGAGAGGGGAGGGGGCGAAAGGCCCCTGCCTCCCTCAGCAAACTTAAATGAGAGAGAGAGCGAAGTAAGGGAAGGGAAAGGGGGGAAAAGAGGAAGAAGAAAGATAGGGGAGATCAGTTGCAATTTGTCCCGATTTGTACCCCTACCCCC